TTTTGGCCGATATGTTAAAACTTATTTGGCCGATACAGATATTTTATATATGTTCCTTTGTCAGAACATAGCATCTTATTTAGGCTTATTTGCTCCAAAAATTGTGTAATATCTGTAAGAACTGGTGACATATATTCAGTAACAGCCATCTAATATGCATAGCACTTTAACTTATATTAAATGAAAAGTGTTAAATATTATTTATTAACAGTCACCTGCGATGCTGTCTCACTTGTGAAGGTTTGTTCCAGATTCCTATAGCTGCAGTGTGGATCCTCTGCACTCTTGTGCATGAAGGACATCCTTTTTAAGTTCAAAGTTTTTGTTTATCCATTGTGCCGTAAGACTAATCATGCCAACGGGCTAACACGACGTCCAAACGTCTGTGGTAAAACTCACCCAACAAGTCGTGCTATCGGCTGTTAGCTTCTCAATGACGTTGGAAATGACGGCTTGTAACTCAGGTAACGTTACGTCGGAAAAATATCTCTGACTGGGGACGATGAAGCGAGGCTCAACGTAGTCCATAAATCTTCAGAATCCAACATCCTCACCAGTGAAAAGTAAAACTTCCACAATGCGACATTTTGAATTTTCCTCTCCAGCGTGAGATCAGGTAGGCGCACGTGACGTCATCACGTTGCGATGCTGCTGCAGGTAAAAACAGCGCCTTTTATATCGGCAAGTTATTTAAATGGAATGGCCGATGTTGAACCTTAACGCTAATATCGACCGATACCATGCCGATAATATCATGCATCCCTAGTTTACTGAGACTCTTTAACGCAGACAAAGCTTGAGCATGCATCAGGACAAAGCTATATAATCTCCAGCCAACAATATAATCTCCAGCCAACATATCGGTTATCAGCATTAGCCTGGGCCGCCCAATATCAGTATTGGTGATACCCAAAATTTCTGTATCGGTCAGGCACTAATAATAATACTCTCATGAACAATACAACAGACTAACGAAAGTCTTGAAATGTTTTGCACGTGC